GCATTCCTGATAGTAAAACTGTTTGAAGAGTTAAATATGAACCTGTCCTAAATTCTTCATTGGAGGATGAAGGCATTTTAACATACTTTAAATGTAATGAGAAATCACCTTGAAAGACTTTTGTATATGGTAGAATAGATGATGGTTGTATTCTTACTACTTTTATAACTAAAGCATCACTCATTTAGAGAGTTTACTTTTTTGTCACCAATGCTGGATAGATAATTCTTTTCTTTAGTATTTTCCTCAGCTGTTCTTCATCTTAACTAAGCCCATATCCCTAGTATAACCAGTTATAATTGTGAAGCATAGTTATGTATTATATAAACTTCTACATTGTTCTTGAGAGTAGGAATCCAGCCATGTAAGTTTGTACGTATTTATTTATTTTACCCTTTTTTTGTTGTTTTTCTTTTAATTGCTGTTGAGTTTCTTTTTCTGCTATCCAGTTTCTTTTTTCTTTTTAATATCCATTTTCTGGCTTGGGTTACCGAGTTTCTTTTATGTTTTTTATTCTCCTGAGTTATCTGCTAATCATAGCTTAGTATATTCCATGGCTGTGTTTAACACTGATGTAGAATGTGTTCTACACATTCAGGTATGTCCAATTTCTAGGTGTCAGGGAGTCTTAAGAATGGGTCAGAAGTAGTTATTATCTGGAGTATTCTCCCAGGAGAAAGGTATTAAATCTGCATGTAGGAATAAATTGTGCTAACATGAAGAAAAGTAAGTGCTGTCTACAGGGTTATGCAAAAATAATAAAATAATTGCACAACTATTTAAGTACTCCTAGGCGGATTAATTGCTTCAGATCTACAGTGGTCAAGTGGGAAACAACCACAATATTTTTTAAAAAGAGATAATATAGCACCTCTTCTCTCCAACCAACATAAAATTTATGAGAGAATAATATCTTTGTGCCCTGTCATGAAACATCCATGTATATTCCCAGGACTCAGAATTAACTAAGTTCTCAGGTATGATACAGTGAAAAAGAGAACTTGTTTTTTAAGTAAAAATATTATTCACCAAAACCAAACTTTGTATTCCTCAGCAAGATGAACATAAGAAGATAATACGTAGTTCTGAAACTTATTGCCATAATGTTTTCCCAAACTTTTCTACTTTGGATAATTTTAGGGAAATGGGACTCAAATCATCACAGTTTTTCTCTAATTTCCTTGTGGGTTAATAGTTAACAATGAAGTTTTAAATGACTGAATCGCTTAAATGTACTTGTTTCCTCTTCTACACAAAAATTTCTTTATATGCAAATATTTGTAATGTAAATATAACCTCTTATTTTTCAGATAGATTCCTCACACTAACAGAAGTAAGCTATTATCACATTTCCATAAAGGTTATTTTTAAGTCTAAAAAAACAAGAGACTTTAAGACAAAGATATTTCTTTAACAGCAACAGAATAATCTGGAGTTTTTGTTTAGCTTGTGAAAAGCAAAATAAAATGTCATGGTTTAATTTTTGTGGTTAACATTCTATGGAATTAATACTTAGAGAGTTTAAAAATTACTAACTTGATACACACACACACACACACACACACACACGAGGAATAAATCAGTTTTCTACTGCATAGCTAGATTGGCTTTTTAATTCTGGAGAGGAAGGAATAGAGGTAGAAGAATATACTCAGATTATGAAAAACTTCTACCACAAAACTACTTATACTTTCATTCTGAAGAAAAGCATCAGCAAATTCATCTTTTGAGTATATGTGAGAGATTAAGTATAGTATGGGAAGAGATGCCCTTTTAATGGGCTTGCTTAAATGTTAAAATTTGACATACTGTTTACCATTTTAACACTGGGTTAAGCTTACAGAAAAGCAAATAATTTTAAATGTAGATATGATGTACTTTAATTTGAAACTTTTAAAGAGTTTCAACGAGCACTATCAACGAGCACTATCAACGAGCACTCAGACAAGCTTAGAATTAAGACATTAACAGTTTTTTTTTTAAAGTGTAAAATTAGAAAAAATGGCACACATGGCATGATACTGTGTGATTTAGAATGCTAAACTCTAGTGCTTTTGTATTGCTCCAAGAAGAAAATCCAAATATTTGTAACAAGGCATTATTATTGGTCATTTTAAGAGACTTCATGTTTTTCTTAGATGCCTTTGAGTAATGGACAGATGGGCCAGCCTCTCAGGCCTCAGGCAAATTATAGTCAAATACATCACCCCCTTCCTCAGGCATCTGTGGCAAGGCATCCCTCTAGAGAACAACTAATTGATTACTTGATGCTGAAAGTGGCCCACCAGCCTCCATACACACAGCCCCATTGTTCTCCTAGACAAGGCCATGAACTGGCAAGGCAAGAGGTAAGAATGATCAAGAATATTCGGAATATGAGACTAAGCTTTTAATGTATTTTATAGGTTATTTAATTACAGCAATAAATCCATACAGAATTTTAACATAGTTTTTACTGTTTTGTTTAATGGCTTGGTTTCATGTTAAGTTTATAAGGTATTAAACTTTGTGGTTTAACTTGACTGTATGATCCCCCCTGTTCTGATAAATTGACATAGGATAGTATTGAGGGCATGATTTTTTTTTTCCTAAGGTGGTTGTATTTCCAAAACTGGTTGATGATGATACTCCAGTAATCGGACCTTCTTCAGGAATAAAAATAGTAGACCATTAAACTTGAATGGCATATTATAGTTTGCTAATTGTTATTTGATAGTTAGCTTTTGAAACTGGCCTGTAGTCTCCAGACTACTTTGAGAATTAAATCTTACAAAGTACTTAAAAAGTCAACAGTCATATATTCATGTATTTTGATAGTTTATTAATAAAATATTATTATTAGAAACTTAGAGAATAAACGCTTCATTTTGTTTTGGTCTCTGGGGAAAGGGAGTGTTTTATAACAAAAGTTTAGCTCTTGCATCTTTTTCTACAGCTTGGCTGTAAAAAATAGTACTGATCGATCATCAATCCCAACTCCTTTGAAGCATATAAACAGATTTAGGAAATGAGTTAATATCCAACAACCACCCAGGGATCTTTTAGCCGTCTTATGAAACGTCCAGTAGTCAGAAATACTATTTAATTTAGATGTTCTACAAATGGAAACTGATAATAAAATACATGTTTTGTGTGTATGCTCTATGTCATTAAAGTCCGTGCTGTCCAAAATATATAAAGTCAACATTAATTGGTTGCATATCCTCATAAGATAGCAATAGATTAATTTAGGAGCTATGCTTTATAATCCCAGCTGTGCCTTTAACTCACTAACTCATTAACATAATATTTCACATTGTAGTTTCATTTCATCTGCACAAATATTTATTTTAGGTGAATTCTTACTTATTTATGTTTTCTTGAACTTAATTTACCAGTGTGGTTATTATTGTATTATAGCTTTTTCTGATATTAGTAATAAGTTTATTTTCATATTAACTCAGATTCGAGTGAGAGTTGACAAGGATCCAGAACTTGGATTTAGCATATCAGGAGGGGTTGGGGGAAGAGGAAACCCATTCAGACCTGATGACGATGTGAGTTTTGTTTATATATCCTCGAAATGCCCATTAATTTTTATTCACTAAATTAGTACCTTTTATGCATAAGTAAAAATCTAACAGATATTTATATAGATATAGACAGACATCACCTTGTGACTTCCATCTGTATTGTTCAGCTTTTTGTTTTGAAATGTGATCAGCTCAAATTGTTTGAGGACTACAAATTTAACCAAAAATTTTTAATGTTCATTATATTGTGAAGTGATTTTTTAATTGTTAATACTTTTCTTCATATCTATAGAAGTAACTTTTTTTTTATCACTTTAATAAAAATCACTAAAGTAAGAATTACCAGAAGCACAAATAACATAGCGTTGTCACAATATTATTCAGAGGAGACAGGGAGAAAACTTGTACCACAATTCAAATATTTGCATACTATTAAAAAAAAGATTGCTCCTTGGTACTGTTTTATTTATGCCTACTGCTTTCCATCAAGTAATTATCTTTTTTGTTGTTATTAAAGGGTATATTTGTAACAAGGGTACAGCCTGAAGGGCCAGCATCAAAATTACTGCAACCAGGTGATAAAATTATTCAGGTAACTAAAATACATTTTTTTATTACTTTTTGTTTTATAACATCTGCCTTCCTCATCAAGGGATTATTAAATGCCAGATTTGAAAGTAAGCATTTTATGAAGTTATCTTTAAATACTTGTGGATGAAAACAGTGGCATTTCTTATAGGCTACTCTCCAGTGCTTTCATAGCTTAAAATATTTCCACCTTGTACCTTGGAAGATCATACTGATATTTTTAAATAAACCTTAGCATTTTTTGGAATATATCTTAGCCTTTTGTTTAAGTTTACAGATGTTAACTTCTTCTAAAATAAGATGATGAAAGAATCTCCTTTGTGTGTTACGAGAATTAAAGGATTTAATTCACAAGAAGCACTTAGAACTGTGTGTCTGATGTATAGTAAAACATCATTAAATGTTTAGCCTAAATTATAAGAAGTGTAGTGTCCTTGATCTGGTGGCTCCTAGGCAATGGGAAGACTAGGCCTTGACCTCTGTTACCCTTGCAGCTTGGTGACCTCAGTTGCACCTTAGCGTATACACACAACACCGTATCTGACACTGTCTTAGACAAGTGCTTCCTAATGTCAGGTTGCTATGTAAGAATCATCTGAAAATGTGGGCAAGATACAGGTCCTGGGTCCCACCTTCAGAGATTTTATTTCCATAGAGATGGGGTAGGGCCCAGGAGTCTAGATGTTGTTTTAAATTGCTAAATGATTCTTATTTTCTGCCAGGTTTGTGAGCTGGCAGAAATTCAAATGCACAAATGCAAATAAATGACTATGAAATTTTTTTTAAGCTTTTTTCTTCTTTCTTCTAGGCTAATGGCTACAGTTTTATCAATATTGAACATGGACAAGCAGTGTCCTTGCTAAAAACTTTCCAGAACACAGTAGAACTCATCATTGTACGAGAGGTTTCCTCATAAGAGCTGTGGACTAAAAAATGGAGAGACAGCAAGATTTATTGGAAGATACTTGCAGGGGAAATTAATATTTTGACTATTTTTATATATAAAGAACTCAAATATGTTCAAATTTGTACATTAATGAAATAATGGAATTTGTGGTTAGAGGGAAAGAACCACTGTACAGTATATAGGGGAGACTGTTGAATTCATACCATATAAAACTTTTAGGTTTTTAAACATAGCAGTCAAGGCTACAAAAACAAATGTATGTTGTTTTTGTATAGAGTGTAGGTTTATTTTTGGATTTCATAAACATGATTGAACTCTGTGCAAGGCTCTAGTTAGCCTTGATTGTAGCCCAGAGACAGATGGCAGAGCTATCTATCTCATAGCTTTTATGCCCTTATTTTTATTCAACTGGTATTAATGTTTTTCTGCTGAAACTTTTTTTTTATGTGGGCAAGAGATTCGAAGTGTTGGCTTTTGCTATGTGCATATTGAATTGAAGAGTGAGTAGGTGAAGGTGGTGCTGGTGGGTTCCCTTTCCAAGGCCAGATTAAAAGTTATTTCCTATAAAAATCTGGAAGCAAAGAATGAAAAAAACAGCTGTTAATGTGTTTTTATTAATAGAATAATGCAATAAAAAATGTGATGTCTTTTTAAAGAAATAAAAAAGACAATAATTGCATTTTATGAGCTCTTCAGGATCTGTTCTTGTCATAGCCATTACTCTACATCTGCTACTAGTAAATCAAGTTTCAATTTTTTAGTCACAGGAAAGTTTTAACTCTTCTGTAGATGCATGTCCATGCATTTTCTTTCCTTTTTGTTTTTTTTTTTTTTTGGTCCATGCATTTTCCGTGATGCAGAAATTCCTTGATTTTTTGCAAATGGTGGTACTTGCAATCTGTTTTATAATTCGTACTCCATTTTAATCTTAATTTATAATTTTTATTTTAAGCAACAAATGAAACTGAAATGGCCAGTTTTAAGATTGTGTTGCTGTAACACAAAATTTAAGAAGATTTAGGAAAGCCTCTTGATTTTGTTTGGCCTCAACATTGCCTTGGTAAAGTAAAAGGAAACAGTACGCATGGAGCTAGGAAACCAAAGCAGGTTTGTGAAACTGGCACAGTGATAGAGAATTGCTGTGGAGAGTTGTAGAGCAAAGGGATGGGTCCTTGAGGCCTACCAGTGTGTAATGGTGTTCAGATAAAGGGCTGTTCCTACAGGTAACATAATAAAAGAGTAAATGTGAACTCGACACTTCAGAGTCTTTAAAGGGTTTCTAAGTGTAGTGTAATAGTGTTTTACCACCAACTGCCTTTGTTCCTCGTTAGTGTAACAATTCTTTGATAGAGGTTTATTAATTTTGTTCAAACCATTAATTTTATTTGTTTTTGTTCTGTCTATGTAATCAAATAAAATTTGAGTGACATGCAATGGTAAGAATTAATGCATGGTTATTTGGACCAGAAAAAAGTGCCATAGAAGACCAATAACTGTTTTTAGTCGAAGCTAGTCTGAGCGTTTCATTAGAGCAATATTCAGTTATTGCAATTCATTTTTAATTACTAAGAAATATAATTTTGGAATTTTGAATCTGTTATGCTTTGTTCTTCAACCTTGTTTTAAGGTTAAGTCTTCTATAAGACTAGAGAAAACAGCAATCTACATTATTTTTGCAAAAGTGAGTTGGACTCGTTTGTTTCTTGCTAGTCAGAGTAAATAGGCAGTACTTTTAAAAAGATGTGAACTCCAATACTGCACTTCCTTCAAGATGTTATCAGTTGGTTATTGTACTGTATAGTTTTAATAATATTGATTGAAGCCCTTTAACAACTCTTTGTAAATTTTAACTCATTTTAGTTGATTTTCAGTACTATTTACATAGGAATTGATTTTTATGGATATAGTAGACAAAATGTGCTGTATTTTGATAAAATTCATTTATTGTATGTGTGTTGTAATCTCTAAAAAATGACAAACAGCTTCTTTAAGACAAGCCTTGGTGTTCCCTTTATTCATAGTTTATTTTAAAATATTAATTTTGGCATTCTAAAATTACTCCCATCATTTTTTATTGGTTTCAGTCAACTTTTCACAGTCACATTCTGCTTTTAATAAGGAATACAAAAAATAGGTATAATTCTGACATTTTCTTTACCTTGAGTCAGATACACAGATTGTGATTTTGGAAAAGGAAATAAGCCACAAAGAACAATTGATTCATCAATGATCTAACCTTAAATTAGTTGTCTGCACATTATATTGAAATACTACAAGTGCAACAAATGTTATATGCACTAGTATTTTCTTCTAGTTAATTTAAAAAAATTTTAGTGTTCTCGTAACACATAAAGTCAAGTAAGAAAGTTTGTTACAAGATGAGTAACATGACATAACTTAAAAAACTAATAGCAAAATAGTTTTGCACTTAAATTAATAGCCAAAGTTTTCTTCTAAAATACTGGAAAATTAAAATTAAATAACAAGAATTCTTCATTAGAATTTTTGTTTTGGTAATGATAAAATTTCAAAATTTGAATAAAAGAGTAATAATTTAAATCTTTTGAGGAAATAGAAAAGACATTTTTAGTTTATATATTATTGAGTAATCTGTAGTTAAGGCCCATGCCCATAATTGATATACTTATTTTTAATAAGTATTATGTAGCAAACCATCAAAACCAAAACTGTCTTATTTTTAGTAACAGCATTTAAAATTGACCACCCTAAAATTTTAAACCATTAAAAATTATATGTCCAGCACAGAATTGTTTACACAAACTAAAGTTTTATGCTGATTCATTAAGGAATCATGGGTTCCTCTGAGTCTATGAAATTCTAAAATTCCCTACATATTTATTTTGTAAATATTTTTCTGACCTCTTTGGACTTGAAGCTGTGTATATACTTGAAAAATTCTTTAAGAACATTTAATCCCTTGTATTTCTGGGTATGGAAGAAGTGTAGGTTTACCTTATTTTTTACTTCTGAAGGAAACCTTTGGGATGGAAATGTTTTTCAGTTCAGGATTGGTGATCAGTCACATCTACTTGAAAAGGTATTTTTTTCATTCTTTGTTGAAGTTCTTATTAGCTTATCCTTTTGGTTTAATGTATAGTAAATAGATTTCTTATGAACAATATATTGAAATCAAAATTAAAATAATTTTGTTCCATTAAAAGAGTTAATGAATACACATAATTGATGATGAACAAGGGAACAAGCAATTACTTTTAAAAGGTAGTCTAGATTATATAAGTAGCCAGCTCAAACCTTTAGGTAATCCTTTTGTTTCTAATAATAGAATTCAGAAAAGGTTGACTATCTTATATCTAAAGCTGCTGTTTCTTTACCTCTGCAGAATTTTAAGCCCAGCGGGATAGCAAACACAGTCATTTATAGTTTTGGAAAAATCTTAAGAGAATGCCATTTTCTTTTTAGGACTTTGCATACTCTTTGTGAAGCAATTTGTGGAATTAAAATTTACGGTCTCCAAAAATGTACAGTCCTAAAATCCAAGCAGCATTCTAAACTGAGAAGGTTTATTTGGGGAAAATACCTCAGTAGAATTTTTAAGAAAGAGACTGAAAAATGATGCTACTGTTATAATTCCCTTCTTCAAATATAACAACTAGGGACAGTTACAAACTTTCATGGGATTTCATCTGGCCAACCTAGCTTCTCAGTCAGCCCTCAATCTGATTTCAGGATGAAATATGAAAAGCTCATGTATGCTTTCCTCCCCCCAACCCTGTGATTCAATAAAGCTATTTTTGTTTTATATGAAGAACATTGTTGATAAATATTTTTCCTCAACTGACCTTGCTTTAATCTAATCAAACCAGTTTTGTTCCTCCAAGGCAGAGCTTTAGAAGGGTCTTTTTTTTATGTGTTCTTCCCAACTAATTTCTTTGTCAGGAAACTTAAAGAAAAATAAGCTAAAAATGAAGAAATAAAATTAAAATTGAAGAAAAATTAGTATGTGGAGCATGAGTTCTTAGAGTAGATGATTGTAGGGCTCCCCATCTTCATGAAGGGCCAAACCTAATGCTCAGAACTAATGCCATCCCAGAATGGGTATTAAAACATTTCCTTCACATTTGGATCATCCTTCAAAGGAGCATTTGTTTTCCCAAGAACCATGTGCAGGCTTATCTCCCAAAGTAAATTGTTCAAGGTTGTACACTGGCTCATCCTTCATGCTCCCCTTCCCATCCATATCCCTAGAAGTGACAAAAGATGATTTAATACTATGATAGGTAAAAGTATTTAATTTCCAAAGTTTTGAAAAATAAAGGTGTACACTGGATAAACTTCAAGGAATTGTTGGAAGACCTAGGGCAGGTAGGGCCAGAAGATTCTATCACAAAAGGTGAATTTGGCCTCAGGGAAAGTAGAGACAGGACAGTGGATCAAGCATGAGTTCTAGTGATGGTTGGGTGCTGCATCATGAGAAACTGGTTAGGACAACCACCTTTTTTATGCCAAGCAATGTGCAGGAGATGTCTGGCCCAAGGCAGGAGCAATGAGTATGGATGCTTAGATTAGGAAAAAAAAAAACAGTGTGGCCATTTTGAAGTGGCGTGGCCTACCCAGTGTAATATCGGTTTCACTCACCTTCAGTGCAGGTAGTTTGAGAAGGTTATTCGCTTACTGCAGTCAAGCTCACGATGACAACAAGAGTTACTGAACAATTGAAGAAAAGCAACACCATGAATGTCACCAAAGAAATCACTATTTAAAAGCAATATCTTCTGAAACGTACGAAAGTATTTAAATATCTTCATAATGTAAAGTAGAATTTGTCACACATTCAACAACTGTGCTAAGTAGGAAGTACACACCTAAAGAGCAAATCAACTCTCTGTCTTAGATTTGGATTCCATAGAATGTAATGCAAAAGAACTAAGAAATAGTGTGAAGTGAGACAGGAAGTCTTCATGTTCCAGCTTGGATCCAATAGGAGTTCAAAGGGAGAAGGCAGGAGATAGATACAGAATGAGAAAAAATGCTCAAGAAAATGTCCTAGATCTGAAGAACAACATAGGTCCTCAGATCAGTGGGTCCATTCATAACAAAAACTGTAACATGAACACACTTCTAAATAGATCTTCATGAAATTTCAGATCAGGTATAAAGGACACCATGCAAAGTTCCAAAATGTGAAGGAAATTACTTGCAAAGTGAACAAAATCAGATTGACTAACAATTTTCATCAGCATCATTGGATGCAAGGATACAGTAAAGCAATATATCCAAAACTTTAAGGTTAATTAAGTCTGAAAACAAAATACAGTTTCAGGAATTCAAGGTTTCAAAATTTACCTCCCACATAGCCTCTCCAGAAGAGGTATCAGGGGATATATTGGAATAAAATGAAAATTTAATCTCAAAAGTAAATTTGGGATCCAAGAAATAATGTGACCAAAACCACTTGTAGAGCAGAAATAAATGTCCTTAGTATTGATAAATAATGTGGATGTAAAATATTAGAAAAATCTTAAGTTGGAATTCATGTGGTGAATAATGATTATACAAAGAATAGACATTTAGTATTATGTGTTTTTTATTTATACAAGTAAATGCAACAGGCTCTAGGTTTGTTTGTTTTTTTTGGTCACACAATGATGTGTATACATATAGTTTGACTCCACTGCATTTGACTTATCCATTTTTATAGTGATGAACACTTTTGATGCCTGCACTTCACCCCGTGTTGCCATAAACACCACAGTGGTGAGTATCCTTATTTCATTTTTTTGAACCTGTGTGAAAATTTGTCTAGAATATGTACTTAGGAGTACAATTGCTAGATCATAGATACTATTAATTTCACAAAATACCACTAAAAGTACTTTCCACAAAGTCTGCACCAGTTTATGCTCTCACTAGCTAAACATGGATCTCATTTCTCCACATTTGCAAATAGTACTATGTGACTTTCTAACTTTTGCATGTTTGATGAATATAACATTGTATTTTGACATTGGTTTAAATTTCATTCCTTTAATTACCCATGGTTTGACAAGTACATATACTTGTTAGCCATTAAGATTTACCATTCTGTAATTGTCCTATTCCCTTTTCCCATTTTTCTGATGTTTTCAAGGCTGATTTGTAGTAGTTCCTTATCCATTCCTGATATTACGCTCCTTTCCTTTTGGACATTTGCAAATATGTGTTCCCAGTCCAGTCTGTTTAACTTTGTTTATGGTGTATTTTGTTTACAAAACAGTTTAACATAGATGAAGACGAATCTATCAATCTGTCAACAATAAAGTATATCATTATGCTTTATTGTTCTTAAGTCTTCCCCATTGCTGAGTCAAAAAGCTATTTTCTCACATTTACTTCTACTAGATATATATATTTATTATTTAGATTTTAATCCATTTAGAGTCCACCATGGCTTATGGCCTAATGTTGGGATCAATTCCTTGTTTTCTTTACATCATTTACTAAACAGGCCTACTTCTTTCTATTGATCTGTGATGCAGTCTTTATTGTATATCAAATACCTCTGTATACACAGACTTTCTCATTTCTCTATAGTGTTCTTTTGGTCTGTTTTTCTGTTCTTATACCTATAACTTTTTTTCAGCAAATTTGAAAGCTTTATAAGGAACATCTATCATCTAGTCTTCCATTAACATTTTTCTATATTTGCTTTTATGTACTATGTTTCTTTTTTAACTAAAACTTCATATATATATATATATATATATATGTATGTATATATCAATGATTGTCAAGCTTTGCCACATCAGTCACCTGGAGGGCTTGTTCGGCCTCACCTAAAGGGCTTTGATTAAGTAGGTTTGGGTTGATGTCCACGAATTTTCATTTCTAGCAAGTTCCTAGGTGATGCTGATGCTTATGGTATGGAGATAACACTCAGAGAATCATCTTCCCATTTTGCTCCTATTTTTCAAAGCTGGCTCAGGTATATGTACATTTTTATTTTTCCATGTATGTTTCAGAGTAAGTTTGTTGGTACTGATTGTTCTGGCCACGATGGATTTATCCTCCCTCCTAAAAAAACCCAAAACAGATAAAA